ATCACCACCGATTCCGTCACCATCGTCAGCGTCGTCATATTCATCATCGTCGTCATCATCAACAACATGACCACAATCATCAGCGTCACCATCGTCATCGCCATCATCATCATCATCATCACAATCACCATCGTCGTTGTCATCAGCATCTTCAGCATCGCCATCGTCATCGGCATCGTCATTATCACTGTCGACATCACCACCATCACCATGGTCACCATCATCACCCTCACCATCGTCATCATCAGTAGCATCGCCATCGACACCGTCATTATCATCAGCAACATCATTATCACCACCGTCACCGTCACCATGGTCATGGCCATCATCATCAACATCATCACCGTCATCGTCACCATCGTCGTCGCCCGCAGGTTCATCTCCATCGTCGTCGTCGCCATCATCATCACCATCATCACCGTCATCGTCACCATCGTCGTCGCCGGCAGATCCATCTCCATCGTCTTTGTCGCCATCATCATCAACATCATCACCGTCATCGTCACCATCGTCGTCGCCGGCAGATTCATCTCCATCGTCGTCGTCGCCATCAACATCAACATCAGCACCGTCATCGTCACCATCGTCGTCGCCGGCAGATTCATCTCCATCGTCTTTGTCGCCATCAACATCGCCATCACCCTCATCCAATCGGGGGAGCGTAAGACCCGGGTTTGCCGGGACTCGGGTTCGCCATCGTTTTTTGACGACCGCGACTCAGATTTTGACGAGGAGGAGTTTCGTGGGATGTCTGCAGCGGGAGGCCTCGTCAAAATGCAGGCTCGGCCTCGTCATTTTTTTGACGACCCCGTCGGGGATTTCCGAGTCCCCCGTACCCGGGTCTTACGTCTCCCCGATCCAAGCGACAGGGTGACACGGCGACGGCGGTGGCCACGGCGGCGGCCGTGGCGGCGGCCACGGCGACGGCCACGGCGGCGGCGCGCCGCTCCCGCCCCGCCGAGCAGGGCTGCGCCGTGCCGCCGCGGCCGGCGGGCGGGCCGCGGCCCGCGCGCACGCCGCGCGGGGCGGCGTCGCGCAGAAGGCCGCTCGTCTATCAGAGCCCTGAATCATCAGGGGTAACTCGGGTCAGGGATAACACGGGTTCGTTTTTCGGGATTCCTGACCCGAGTTACCCCGGACCCGAGTTACCCCGGATGAATCGGGCGTCCAAGAGCCCCGAATCATCAGGGGTAACTCGGGTCAGGGATAACTCGGGTTCCTTTTTCGGGAATCCAAACCCGAGTTACCCCGGACCCGAGTTACCCCGGATGAATCGGGCGTCCAAGAGCCCCGAATCATCAGGGGTAACTCGGGTCAGGGATAACTCGGGTTCCTTTTTCGGGAATCCAAACCCGAGTTACCCCGGACCCGAGTTATCCCGGATAACTCGGGCGCCCAAGGCCTCCTAGATGGGGTCCGAGCAGAAGGGGTCGGAGGATCGCGCCGCATCGCCGATGTAGCGCCGATGTATCGGCGATGCGGGGCGATCCTCGGACCCCATGTGTTCCGACCCCATCTGGGAGGCCTCTAGTTCGGGGAGGGAGGCTCGGGGATGGGTGTTCGCGGATTCTTCTTTCGGGGGGGGGCTCGACGCCAACACTTCTGAGTCAAAACTTGCAGCGAGGGGATTGCAGGAGCAAGGGAGGGGCAGGTTTATTCACGCGTGGGTGTGGTCCGACCCTTCTGAAGAAAGTGTTGCAGCTCTGGATCCCTCCCCCTCTTCAGTTCTGACAAAACGCTTGCACATCTCGCAGCTGGAAGTTCGAGGATCGATCATTTGCTTCCTTCAAAGAAGAAATGGCAAACAACATAAACATTTGGATCTCCGCGCGTTTTCTTTATTTGCGCCAGGACCCTTGGCGGTGCCTCCAGCGCCGCCCGTGGCGTGGGCAGGACTGCAACATTGGAGACTTGAAATTGCAATCGGCGCAGGGAGCAGCACGCTTCGGCCTACAGCCTGGTGCCCCCATAGGGGGACCGGCGGATTATCATTTTGTGAACGTGGGTGAGCGCGAATAGCCGTGTTTCACACGCGTGTTAACCATATTAATCGATTTGTGGATATTATTGTCGCATGAAATCGAAAACAACCATAATCATTGACGCTACTTATCCGTATAACGTTTCAATATAATTTGCATCTGCGTGCCACGCACGCCCAAGTTGAACGGGTACTCTAGCAAGCACTGTGGATGCATTGTCGCGACAATTCATGTCATTCATTGAAGCCCCATCGTTGCCATGTCGTGTCATTAGCACCTTGCCCGTTGCTGTGGCGGCGGTGTCAGCCAAGGGGGTGCTTAAAACATGCAGCGGCAACTGGGGAAGCAGGTAGCACAAAGGTAAGGTCAGACGGTCGTTGTTACCAACGCCGTTCGGCTCAAGCTTTTAACGTTCGGAAGTCTGACTCATCCGAGCGTAGTGTGAAAACAAGCGCGCGGTTTCACGCTGAATAATTCTTGTTATTTTGCAGGAGGAAAGAGGGAGAAGAGGAGGGAAGGAAGAGGAGGGATGAAGCTATGAGGGATGCAAGAACAGAAGGAGCAGCAGCAGCAGGAGAGAGGAAGGACGACGGGGAACGGGGGGCAGGAAGAACGAGGGAAGACGACGATGGCGACGACGACGACGACGACGATGATGAAGACGCCGGCGATGATGGCGACGGCAGCGGCAACGACAGCGGCGGCGACGACGGAATGCGACTGCGACGGCGTCTCCGGCGGCATCGGCGGCGGCGCTGCTCCTCCTTCTCCTCCGCCTCCTCCTCCTCCTCCTCCTCCTTCACCACCTCCACCTCCACCTCCTCCTCCTCCTCCGCCTCCTCCTCCTCCTGCTCCTCCTCCGGACCATCCTCCTCCTCCTCCTCCTCCTCCTCCTCCTCCTCCCTCCTCCTCCTCCGCTGCTCTCTCCTCCTCCTCCTCCTCTCCTCCTCCTCCTCCTCCTCCTCCTCCTCCTCCTTCCCGCTCTTCCTCCTCCTCTCCTCCTCCTCCTCCTCCTCCTCCTCCTCCGCCGCTCCTCCTCCTCCTCCTCCGCCTCCTCCTCCTCCTCCTCCTCCTCCTCCGGCGACAGCGGCGACAGCAGCGGCGGCGGCGAGCGGTTCCCGCACGAGCGGCGCCGCCGGCAGGCCGCACGGGCGGCGCCCGCGTGGAGCGGCGGCGCCCAGGCGTCGGCCAGGCGGCCAGCGCGCTCACCCACTCTCAGGAGGGAAAAAACACACTCAGTCCTCCTCCTCCTCCTCCTCCTCCTCCTCCTCCTCCTCCTCCTCCCTCCTCCTCCTCCTCCTCCTCCTCCTCCTCCTCCTCCTCCTCCTCCTCCTCCTCCTCTTCCCTCCAACGTGTGGTGGTGGTGGTGGTGGTGGAAAACAGGCCCATCAGCTCGTGGCGAGCTCGCGGTTCGGGGGCGGAAAAGAGGGGGGTGATGACTAGGGGGGGGTGGATATCATGGGGTGGGCCATGATATTTCCTCAGATTTCATGGCGCCTCTTCTTATTTCATTACGTCCCTGGCCCCCCCGCTGGGCCGCGCACATGCCGCCGGTCATGATTTGCACCCCCCCTCTTGGCCGCTCCCGACACAGACACAATGAATTCTCGATTCCCAAGAAAATATGGGAAGATCTGGGAAGTGGGGGGAAGACAAAAGCCCGGAAGATATTGAGAAACATCGGGGATCCTGTTATTTGTGTGCATTTATTTGTGTGTCCCAGGGCCCCTTCACACTCTGTCGAGCAATGCGGAGCACCGGCGCGGGTGGGTCATGGGCGGGTCGCGGGGTGGATCGCGGGGTGTGTCGAGGGCGGGTCGCGGGCGGGTCGCGGGCGAGGACGAAGACAGCAACAGGCCAAGCAGAGTCCGCCGAACGGAACGGCACTTCTTCTACGCACCCAGGGTCAATGAATGACCGTTCGGGCCCCTCACTCTGAATAGTGCGAGCCACACGCGTGTCCGCCACGCGCACGTCGACATCGCTCCAAAACCATTGATCCCTTAACAATTTCAGCGTAGAGGTGTTCAAACACATACGGAAAACAATAGCTCCCATTGAAAACATGCCAGGGTGTTGGAAATTATGTAGGCGCGTACGTGTATGATTCTGTCATCAGCACAATCGTTATCATCGTCAGCATCATCATTGCCATCGTCAGCATCACAATTGTCATCATCATCATCATCAGCAGCAGCATCAGCATCAGCATCAGCATCAGCATCAGCAGCATCATCAGCATCATCATCATCATCGTTATCATCACCATCATTTTTATCATCATCAGCATCACCATATATATATATATATGTATATGTATATATATCGTATGAATATTCATTTTCAGCGTCAGATTCATCTGCATCACCATTATCATCAACATCATCATTATCATTATTCATCATCATCGTCGTCATCGTCATCATCAGCATCATCGCCAGGAGCACCACCGCCGCCGTTATCGTCGTCATTGTCGGTGTCGGCGCACTCGTCGAGTGCTGCCCGCGGGCATTTCGCCATCACCACCGCCAGCATACCCGTCACCATCATAGCCAGCGTCATCGCTGCCCCGTCGATATCATCACCATTGACCTCAGCACAACCACCATCGTCGTCGTCGCCGTCATCTCGCAGGCGATGTTTCCATCCCAGCCCCCGACTTTTCGACGAAAAATGGAGCGGCTCAGAAAGGAGGGAAACCCTGGGATACACCCCTAGGGGGCTATTCGGGCGCACCCCTATCGAGGATGGACGCCCCCCCTCGTATATCCCAGGGTTGGGCGCCAATGTTTCGGGTCCATTCGAAAACCCCACGAAGCTTGGGATAGGGGTCGACACATCCCCTGTTATCATCGTCCTCGTGGTCGCCGTCAAGATCATCACCAGCGCGACCGTCATCGTAGCTGTCGCGGGCCAGGTGGATGTTGCCAGCTGTGTGCGTGCGTGTGTGGGTGGGTGCGGATGTCTGCACGAGCAGTGGAATGGTTTACTCTATTGCTCTTCAGAACTCATCTCACCATGCAGGCTGCACGCTCGCCGTCGCCGTCCCCCGACCGAGATCCGCTTGAGGCAGGTCCCCCGACCCCTCCCAGGATCGATTCGGGCCGACTTTTCGAGACGTTCCCAGCCGTGCCGACGCGAGCCTCCCGAAACATCTTTCACGCCCGCCGGCCGTTGGCTTGCTCAACAGGCTAGTCGCAACTGGCATCCTCCAGTTTCACGTGCAGTCAGGGGGACTCGGTGGATCAAGCCGTGAGGCGGCGGGGACAAGGCACGAGCCCAGCCGGTCGCAGGGCGCAACGGCACGAGCCGACGCGCCAGGACATCTCCGGGAGCCGACGGCGACGACGATCAAGCGGTGGCGAAGCGTCTTGGCTTGCCTCCAGGCCCGCCAAAGAATATTCTAAGAGCCTCTTGTGGTTTGCATTACACGGCCTTAGACTGTTTCTTGTTGAGACAGTCTTGATTCAATCAGCCAGCTTTCTGTTCAAAGGGTTTGTGGCTTTTTGCAATTCGAACATGTTCTTCTGTTCTAGGAGCATGTCAGGTCTATAGGAATGCCAGGACGGTCGGTCCATGGTCAAGACGACGACGGCGACGGCGACGGTGACGACGACGACGACGACGACAACGACGACGACGACGACGACGACGACGGCGACGGCGACGGCGACGGACATGGACATGGACACGGACACGGCGACGGCGACGACGACGTCGTCGTCGTGGTTGGCATCGTGGGCGTCGTAGTCAGAAAGAGCGTCTACTGTGGGCCCTTGAGGGGGTGAGAGATTCTTGTCTGACCGGCATCGTACAATCGTACGCACCCCAGAGAGTCTTTAGCACTCTTCAACGCCCCCCCGTTCCGAAGTTGGCGGGCTCGAGCTCCTCTTTCCGCTTGCGAAAGGAGGGGGCGGTCGGACGACGATGACGACGACATCGTTGACGCTGACGACGACGAGCACGATCTCGACGACGACGACGACGACGACGACGACGATTACGACGCTTAGATTGACGACGCTACCGATGAAGACAATACTGACGGTGACGACGACACAGGCGACAGCGACGACCAGGAGGACCGAAACGACGACGACGACGACGACGACGAGAAGGAGGACGACCATGACGCTGACGGTGACGATTCTGACGACGATGACAGCGAAGACAACAGCGACGACGACGATGCTGACACTCTGACGCCGGACCCGCCCGCCATGGTCCCACCCGCTCGAATGCTTGAACATCCGCCCTCTTCAGGTCCCGCCCGCCCGACCCGCCCGCTGGGTCCCACTGTCGTGACGCGCCTGTCAAGTTCCCGCCCGCCCGACCCGCACAGTCGGGCCCCGACTGCTCGGATGCCTGAAAATTCGCACTCCCGCTTGAATACCTCTCCCGACCCACCTGTTTGGGTCGCAGCCGAGCTGCCCGCCCGCTGCCTTTCATGTCCCGCCCGCGTCGTCTGTATCGTGGTCGTCGTGGTCGCATTCGTCGTCGTCAGCGTTAGCGTCGTGGTCACTGTTAGCGTCGTCGTTCGTCGTCCGTCGTCATGGTCGTCGTCATCGTCGTTGTTTTCGTTCTTGAAATTTCACTCGTGAGGGATTAGTATTGTTTATCCGCCCCACTGGTGCACATTGCGTTTTCCAATTGAAGTGCACCATTCGGGGCTCGCATTTTCTTCAGGGAAGATCTTCGTGCTCAAACTAGGCCCCCGGCCCCAAAACTACAGCAACAACGGCTCCCGCTTGATACTTCCTCACAAGGTATTTCACAATCGCGCCCTCGCGCGGGACGTCCTCACAATTTATGCTGACATTGCGCTTTGGCGTGGGACTTCTTCAATTTCTTCAGACGCCGCACCCTCGAGTCTCAGGAATCACGCTCTCGCTCTTGCTCTTCTAATGATTTATTTGGGAACCGCGCTATCGCTCGAGCTCTCATCGCGATTCATGTAGGACGCACGCTTCAGCAACCCGCCTGCTCGACCTGGCCGCCTGGGCCCGCCTTCCCGACCCGCCTGGTAGGGTCTGCCCGCCCGATCAGCCCGCCTGGTTCTACCACGTGTTTTCGATTCCTAGCCCCCCTCCTGCTAGTTTCTCTCGTGCTCCATCCTTCTCCCTCCCAATTCCAACCGTTCTCCCTTCCCCTGTTTGAAGGGGCTGCGCTAAATGCACGTGGCACCTGAGGAAGGTATACCCCAAAGGGAGTACGATCGAACACGAAGACGGTGGGTACCGAGTGTTTGGGATATACGTGTTGAATGGCACGCGAGTGGATACGAGCGAGCAGTCTTCTAATGATGGTTGTTGGTGGTGTTGTTGTGGTTGCTGTTGTCATTGCTGTTGCTGTTGTTATTGTTGTTGTGTGTTGTGTTTGTTGTTGCTGCTGCTGTTGAAGGTTCAAATCTAGTGAATGATTATTGTTGAGCCCCCCGTGACAATGGCATGTTTCAATTGACGTGCTTCTCCCGGGGCTCTCACCTGGTTTTTGATCAGGGAAAGTGAGGGATTACCAACCTGCGCCCCTGGCCTCCTGTTTACAACAACAGCGGCTCCCGCCAGATATTTCCTCACACTTCATTTCAAAGTCGCGCTCTCGCGCAGGACATCCTCATAACGCATCCAGGAATTACGCTCTCGCGTGGCACGTCCTTACAATGTGTTGCGGTGCCGTGCCCCCAAGACTCACAAGTTGGGAGAGTCACGGGGCTCAAACTGGGCTGCTGGCCCCCGGTTTAACAACAACAACGACAACGACGACGCCAACACCAACAACAACAACAACAACAACAACAACAATAACAACAACAACAGCAACGGCTCCCGCTTCACATCTCCTCAATTATATCCCAAATCGCGCTCTCGCGCGGGACCTCCTCACACACTGTACACGGATCGCGCTCTCGCGTGGGACTTTCTCGCAGGCGATTCCGACGATGCGTCCTCGGCGCTCGGGAATCACGCTCTGGCTTTGGCCTCTCTCGCGGTTCACCTGCAGTACCTGGGCATCGCGCCATCGCTCGAAGTTTCCTGCTGTGGGTTGACGCTTTCGCGACCCGCTCGCTCGACCGGGCCGCCTGGGCCCGCCCGCCCGGCCTGCCGCGTGGACAGCTGCTCCGTGGCCTCCTCCTGCACATTTCTCTCGTGCTCCATCCTTCTCCCCTTCCCCTCCTTTTTCTTCTCCTTCCCTCCTTCCCCTCCTTCCCCTCCATCCTTCTCTCCTTCTTCCCTTTTTCCCCTCCTTCCTCTCCTCATCCCCTCCTCCTCTGTTTCTCCCCGTCCCTCTTTCTCCTCCTCCCCCTCTCCCTGGCTCTCTTGCCTCTTCACTCCTACCCTCCTTCCCCTTTTTCCTGGGGGTTGCGCCAACTACACGCGGCAGGCAGGGAAGAGATACCCCCAAGAGGGGGTACGATCGAGGACGGAGAGGGCGGGTACCGAGGGTTCGGGATAAACGTGTTGGGTGGCACGCGAGCAGATAAAAGCGAACATATTGAAATTGATGGTTGTTGTTATTGTTGTTGAACTTTCATTTTGAGTAAATGACATTGACCCCCCCCACAGGTTCACATTACTTTTTTTCAATTCACGTGCCCCGCTCGGGGCTCGCACCCTGTTTCTCCTTGATAAGGGAAAGGCTTCCTGCTCAAACCGCGTTGTTGGCCTACAGATACAACCACAACACCGGCCCCCGCCTGATGATTCCTCATTATGTATTCCACAATCGCGCTCTCGCGATGTTCCTCCTCACACTGTGTGCAGGAATCGCGCTCTCGCGTGGGACTACTCGCCATGTGCTCAGTCGCCGCGCCCTCGGTACTTAGGAACCACGCTCTCGCTTCAGAATCTCTCGCGATGTACCCGGGGATCGCACTACCGCTAGAGACTTCCTCGCGATTCATGCAGGACCCACGCTTGAGCAACCCGCCTGCTCGGCCTGGCCGCTTGTGTTGATGTGGTTGTGGTTGCTGTGATTACTGTTGTTGTTGTTGTCGTTGTTGTTGAGTCTGCGTTCTGAAAAGTATTGCTGTAGATCCCCGCATGCCCAGTAACCGTTGCATTTGTCCCTGTAAAGTGTTTCTCCTGGGGCTTGCACCCTGTTTTTTCTTTCAGGGGAAGTAAGGTGTCACCAAACTGTGCCCCTGGCTTCCGGTTTACAACAACAACGGTTCCCAACCTGATACGGCTTTACAATGTATTCCCAAATCGCATTCTCGTCCGGGAATTTCCCACAGTGTATGCAGGAATCGCGTTTTCGCATGGAACCTCTTCGCAATTTATTCGAACGCCGCGCCCTCGATACTCAGGAATCGCGCTCTCGCTGTGGATTTCTTTACGATTTATCTGGGAATCGCGCTGTCGCTCGAGACTTCCTCCCGATTCATGCAGGACGCACGCTTCAGCACCCCGCCTGCCCCTTGTCCCTTCCTTCCAGCCGTCCTCTCTTCCCTGCCTTAGGGGCTGCGCGAAATACACGCTGCAGTTAAGCAAGATATACCCTTACGGGGGTACGATCGAGGACGAAGAGGGCGGGTATCGAGGGTTTGGGGTATACGTGTTGAATGGCACGCGAGCAGATAATAGCGAGCAGTCGTAGAATTAGTGTTGTTGTGTTTGCTGCTGTTACTGTTGCTGCTGCTGTTGTGGTTGTTGTTGAAATAGCATTTCTAATGAATAATTATTGTTGGCCCCCCCTCTCCGGTAACCATTTGATTGTTCCAATGTCCCTGGACTCGCAACCTGTGTTTGATAAGGCAGCGATGTCTCACCAAATTGTTCCTTTTGGCCCCCGTTGACAACAACAGCGGCTCCCGCCTGACACTTCCTCACAGTGTATTGCGAATTCGCGCTTTCGCGCCGGATTTCCTCACGAGTTGTGCAAGAATCGCGCTCTCGCGGTGGACTGCCTGGCAATTTATTCAAACGCCGCGCCCCCGACGCCATGAATCGCGCTCTCGCTTTGGTTCTTCTACCGATTCACTTGGGATTTGCGCTATCGCTGGGGATCTCCTCGCGATTGTTGCAGTAATCACGCTTCAGCAACCCGCCTGCTCGTCCTGGCCGCTTGGGCCCGTCTTCCGACCCGCCTGTTAGGGTCCACCCGCCCGATCTGCCCGCCTGGTTTCCCCACGTATTTTCTGCGCCTCACCCCCCTGCTGCTAATCCCATGCTTCATCCTTCTCCCTCTCCCTTCCACCCGTCTTCATTTCCCTTGCCTCAGAGGCTGCACTAAATGCACGTGGCAAGTAAGGAAGATATACTCCCATGGGGCACGATCGAAGACGAAGAGGGCGGGTATCGAGGGTTTGGGGTACACGTGTTGAATCTCACGCGCAAAGGTAAGGGCGAACAGTCTTAAGATGATTGTTTCTCTTTCTGTTGAATTCTCACTTCTGAAGAGTAATTCGTGTTGATCCCCCCTCTGGTAACAGATGTGGCTTTTAATTGAAGCGTCCTTCCCGGGGCTCGCACCCTGTTTTCAATCAGAAAAAATATTCCTCCTCAAATTGTTGGCCCCAGGTTTACAACAACAACAACAACAAAAACAACGGCTCCCGCCTGATACGTCCTCACAGTGGACTCCCAAATCGCGCTTTCGCACGGGATTCCCTCACATGTTATGAAGGAATCGCGCTCTCGCGTGGGACTTCCTCGCAATTTATTCAGACGCCGCGCCCTCGACATTCAGGAGTCACGCTTTCGCTGTGGATTTCCTCACCATTGATTTGGGACTTCCTCGCGATTCATACAGGGCCCACGCTTCAGCAAACCGCCTGCTCGACCTGGCCGCCTGCGCCCGCCTTTCCGACCCGCTTGGTAGGGTCTGCCCGCCCAATCTGCCCGCCTGGTTCTGCCAGGTGCTTTCGGTTTCTAGCCCCCTTTCCTAGTCTCTCTCGTGTTCCATCCTCCTCTCTCCCCCTTGTTCCTTCCTTCCATCCGTCTTCTCTCCCCCTGGACGAAATACACGTTGCAGGTAAGAAAGATATACCCCCAAGGGGGTGCGGTCGAAGACGAAGAGGGTGGGTACCGAGGGGTCGGGATATACGTGTTGAGCGGCACGCAAGCAGGTAAGAGCGACCAGTTTGAAAATGATTGTTGTTGCTGTTGTTGTTAAACTTTCACTTCTGAACAATAATTATTGTTGCCCCCCCCTCCGGGGCACATGGTGTTTTTTAAGTGAAGTGTCTTTCCCATGGATCGCACCTTGTCTTTTCCAAAGAACAGTCTTGGATCTCGGCCCCCGGTTTACAAAAACGGCTCCCGCTTGATATTTCACCGCAATGTGTTCCAACATCACGCTCTCGCGCGGGACATCCTCACAACGTATACAGGAGTCGCGCTCTCGCGTGGGAGCGTCTTCGCAATTTATTTATACGCCGCGCCTTGAACATTCAGGAATCACACTCTCGCTTTGTCGTTTCATGATCTACTTTGGAATCGTGTTGTCGTTCGAGACGTCCTCGCGATGCATACAGGATCTATGCTTCAGCAACCCGCCTACTCGACCTGGCCGCCCGGGCCTGCGTTCCCGACACGCCCGCCAGGGTCTGCCCGCCCGATATGTCAGTCTGGTTCTGCCACGTGTTTTCTGCTCCTTGCCTTCTCTCCTGCTAATTCCTTCCGTGTTCCATCCTTCACCCTCCCGCATTAATCCGTCTTTTCTTCCCCTGTTTTAGGGGCTGCGCTATATCCATGTGGCAGGTAAGGAAGACATACCCCCAGAAGGGTTACGATCAAACGAAGAGTGCGGTTTCCAGGGGCTTGTGGATATACGTGTTGAAGGGCACGCGAGCAGACGGGAGCGAACAGTCTTAAAAAGATTGTTGTTGTTGTTGTTGTTGTTGTTGTTGTTGTTGTTGCTGTTGCTGTTGCTGTTGCTGTTGCTGTTGCTGTTGCTGTTGTTGTTGTTGTTGAACATTATTTATTCTAAAGAATAATTATTGTTGGGACCCCTGGTGCGCGCCCCCCTCGCCGCGCCTAGGCCGCAGCCACATTTTCATCATTTTCGTGAGGAAGTCTCAGGCAAAACGTGGGTGTCCGGATCCGGTTGTTTTGTTGACGCCCGCTTTCCCTTGCAAAAAACACTATAAAATGAAATTTCTTGTTCTAACATAACCAAACTTCAAGAATCCTTTGAAAAAAATGACACGAAGTGCACACTCGCGCGCGCAAGATGAAATCCTTCCAAAACCTTAGTTTTCGTAGCGATTTTAACATAAAAACATGAAAAACCCAATGGTTTTTCAAAAAAAAAGTTTCAAAAATTCATCTTGCGCGCTCTTGCGGATTTCTGAGGAAACCCAATATTTTTTCAACATTTCTGTCAAACGGGCTCTTGCGAGCAACTTTTTCACGTGCTTCGAACTTCTGCAACAACGGTTGCGCGCATGCCAGGGCCATCATCCCTGTCAAATAATACCATATTGGACACATTCGTTTTTTCTTCGCGCGCGCACGCCGTCGTCGTCGGCCGCGGGGCCCTGAATAGTAGCCACGGTCGTCCGCATGCCACGAAGTGAAGTGTCCGAACGTCATAGGGCGGGAAGCTGGGTGTGGGTGGTGGCGAAGAGTCGTTTGGAAATTTGGTAGAGCTTGAACCGGCCCCCCCACAAAGTGGGGGTATTGCCCGCCTCCTATGAAAACCCTGGCACTGGTGAGAACGGAGTGTCCCCACGTGCTTAAATGATTGTTGTTGTTGTTGTTGTTGTTGAACATTATTAATTCTAAAGAATAATTATTGTTGGGCCCCCTGGTGCGCGCCCCCCCCGCGCGCGCCTAGGCCGCAGCCACGTTTTCATCATTTTCGTGAGGAAGCCTCAGGTAATTCGAGTGATCAAGATCCGGTTGTTTTGTTGTAATCCGTTTTCCCTTGCAAAAAACACTATAAAATGACATTTCTTGTTCTAATATAATCAAATTTCAAGAATCCCTTGCAAAAAATAAGGTAAAGTGGACATTCGCGCGCGCAAGACGAAATCCTTCCAAAAGCTTAGTGTTCGGAGCGATTTTAACATAAAAACATCAAAAAACCAATGGTTTTTCAACAAAAAAATGTCAAAATCTCATCCCGCGCGCTCTTGCGGATTCGTAGGAAACCAACACTTTTTAAACATTTCTGTCAAACGGGCTTTTGCGAGCAACTTTTTCGAACTTCTGCGACAACGGTTGCGCACCTGCCAGGGCCATCATCCCTGTCAAATAATACCATGCGGGACACATTCGTCTCTCTGTATTATGTATTGTATGGCACAATTGCACCATGCTGGGCACATGCGCGCCCCGAATAAGTGACCAAGTTCTGTGGGTGTGTACCCCACGCCAGTGTAGTAGCCACGGTCGTCCGCACGCCACGAAGTGAAGTGTCCCAACGTCATAGGGCGGGAAGCTGGGTTTGGGTGGTCGCGAAGAGTCGTTTGGATATTTGGTAGAGCTTGTAATGCCCCCCCACGAAGTGGGGGTATTGCCTGGTGTCGTATGAAAACCCTGGCACTGGGGAGAACACCACGCGTTCGGGTAAAATGATTGTTGTTGTTGTTGTTGTTGTTGTTGTTGTTGCTGTCGTCGTTGTCGCTTTTTTTGCTGGCGCACCAGGGGGATTCGACCCCCCCGACTTGCGAGAGGCATGGGGAGGAGTCAGGGACGAGGGGAGATCTCGCGGGGAGGAGGGGGAGAGGTCCCAGTTCTGGAGGAGGGGGGCGGGCCTGCGAGGTGGGGAGAGCCCTCGTTCCAGCAAGCGGTTATGAATTTCGCGACGCCCAGTGCACGTGAAAGACGATCTCGTCGTCATTGTCCCCGCCGCCGTCGTCGTCGCCGCCGCCGCCGCCGCCGTCGCCGTCGTCCCCCCGACCACGACCCGGCCAGAGCTGCCCACCAGGGCCCCACGCGTCGATCCCGGCCGCTTCTCCGGGCTGCGCTCGACCGCGGGGACGAGGCGCCCCCAGAGGCACACAGAGACCTCAGAGCCGACGGCGTCGAGGGCTCCCACGAGGGCGCGAAGTTATTCGCGCTTCGCGCTTCGCGGTCCTCGTTCCTTCTTCCTCTCCTCCTCGTCCTCCTATTCTCCCTTTGGGAGGGCGGCGCGAGAGCGCGAAGTTATTCGCGCTTCGCGCAGCGCGAAGCGCGAAGTTGGGAGCCCTAGGTCGTCCGCGCCGTCCTCGTGGTCGCCGCCCTCGTCGCCGCGTGCGGCGCCCTCTTTGGCGCGCTCCAGGCCGCCCCCGCCCCCGGCCTTCGACGACTGGCACGACGACGTGCCGGAAGTTCTGGAGGAAGCCGACTTGGCGAGCGGTCGCCTTCGTCGTCGGTCGCCGTCGTCCCAGCTGCCCGTCGTCTCGGACTAATTAACTGGCCGAGGCGGCACGTGAGCCGTCACTGTTGGCCTCTTAGGGGCCGGTTTCGGGGTCTGGGGCCCGCCTCGGGGATTTGCTGACCCGGGGCAATCCAGACCCAGGTCAGTCAGGTTTCGGGCCGGGCGAAAGGGGGGGATTGGGAAAGGGGGTGTTACGAAATTTGCTGCATGCAGTTGGTTTCGGCCTCGCCGAGGGGCCCGTTCCTCGATACATGGCCGCCTCCGGCGCCGGGAGGCGCGTGGAAAATCAGCTACGGGAGCTCATTCTCAACCCACCCCTTTGCTATCCCCCCCTTTCGCCCGACCCGAAGGTTGTGCAGGATCCTGCAGGATCCCGCGGGATTTTGCAACCAAGCCGGGGTCCATGCAAACCCCGGTCGGTCGGTCGCCGCCGTCCCACGTGAGCGGCGCAGAAGAAACTGGGTCCTCTTCGCCGACGTTGGCGCGTAAGCTGCCCGCGTAAGGTCGCGCGTAAGCGCCCTCGTTTCCAATGTACTTTATTAGTGCATTTAATTGGCTTCAGGGTTTTAACCGATGGTCGCAGCCACGCGGAGGGCGTGCGTAGCGACGCCCCCAATGCTCGGTCTCCAGTACTTCTACGTGGCGGCGCCTCCGCAGGCACGCAGAGGGCACGCGTGGCGACGGGGGCGTCGCCACGCAGAGCTTCTAAAGACCAAACATGTTGAAAACCAATTGTTTCCACTACTAAAGTAGCGTTTCTCGCTGGCGGCCCGCGTAAACCGCGGCGTAAGGTCGCCACGTCATCTCGCGTGTGACCCGTTTTTGATCGTCGCAGAGGTGTCCGTCGCCCTGGGCAGGTCGACGCGGCACGTTGGCCGTCACCGTTGGCCTTTGAGGGCCCGTTTTGAGGCATGGGGCCCTTCGAAACAATGAATTTGGGATGGGAAGCGATCTTTCGCGAAAAGATCGAGAAATCTGGGGGTCTGCGCATGGAGCAAAACGCAGCGCCCGATGTCAGAGGTGCGCTTGCTCCCGGGAGTCCCCTTGCTGGAATGCCGTGAGCGTGTTTTTTTGGTTTGGGTATAGCGGGCGTTATAGCCCCCGCCCTCCCCCCCCCCCCGTAACGTAACGTCCCCCCCCCCAGTGCGCCCCGAGCACTGCCGCCGTGCGCATCGGGATCCGCATGGGCGTCCGCATAGAAATCCGCATAGGGGTCTGGTCCGCAGTCGTCGTCGTCGTCGCTCGTCGCTCGTCGCTCATCGTCGTCGTGCGCGCGGACGCGGCTAGAACCTGTTTTTTCCATTTGGGGCCCATGACGGCCGTCATTTCTGGGAAGGAGGCTGGGCCGAGGACGTGATTTTTCGCGCCAGCGGCGTCTGGGAATGCTCAGGAATGACCGAAGACGGGTAGCAGCAGCATGTCGGTGGCGATCCGCACCACAGCGCCTGTGTACACCACAGTGCTTGCGTGCACCACAGCGCTTGTGTACACCACACAACCTTTGTACACCACAGCAGCCGCGGGCACCACAGCGCTTGTGTACACCACAGCGCTTGCGCACACCACATCAGCCGTGTGCAACACAGCACCAGGGTACGCTACAATGCTCGCGTGCATTACAACGCCTGTGTGCACCACGGCGCCTGTGTGCACCACAGCAACCGTGCGCAAGACAGCACAACTGTCGCATATAGAATGTTGGAAGGAATCCGCATGACAAAATGGAGCGTCTGTTGGATCCTACAGAAAACGATTGTTTTGCATAGGATATGGGAAATAATCCGTATGGAAAGAGAAGTCGCGCCGCTGGAATCGACGAGTCTTCCCGCATCATCCGAATTCCTCCCATATGCGTCCAGGAGGTTCCAGCTGAATTGGCCATCCGAGAACGCAGTGGACATATTCAATCGACCATTTTGCGGTGCGCGCTGACATGCGCAGTTCAAAGTGGTGATGGAGGTGGTGGAGCAGGAGGTGGAGGAGGAGGAGGAGTAAGAGGAGGTGAGGGTGGAGGAGGAGGTGGAGGAGGAGGAGGAGGAGGAGGGAGGAGGGAAAAACATCCCACTCTACTATCCACAATTCCCTGGCGTGGTGCTTAGCTGTCCGCGGCAGATCCTCACCGACATGCTCCTTCGACCTGTCCTGTGCACGCAAGCGCTGTGGTGTACACCAGCGCTGCGTTGCACGCGGATGCTGTGCTGTAGACGCGCGCCGTGGTGTGCACAGGCGCCGCGGTGCACGCAAGCGCAGTGGTGTACACCAGCGTTGCGTTGCACACGGATGCTGTGCTGTAGACGCGCGCCGTGGTGTGCACAGGCGCCGCGGTGCACGCAAGCACAGGTGTACACAGGCGCTGCGTTGCACACCGTTTTTGCGGTAAACGCAGGCGTTGTGGTGTACACGCGCACTGTGGTGCACGCGAGCATTGTGGTGTACAGTGGTGTTGTGGGGCAGATCGCCACCAACATGCTGTTCCTACTAGGCTTTGGTCATACCTAGGCATTCTTTGACGCCGCCGTCGCGGAACGTGACGTCATCTGGGGGCGGGGAGGGCGGGGCCGATGGCGCCCGCTATCCCGGAAAATGCAAAAACAGGTTCCTGTGGTGCCGGAGCTGCACGGCGGGGGGGGGCGTTACGTTGTACCCCCCCGCCCCCCCATATAACGCCAAGTATCGCCGAAAATAAAGAAATGCGCTGCGTTGGGGTTCCCTTCGTCAAGTAAGTTCCTCCTCCTCCTGCGTTTCTCTTCCTCCCACGTCGTCGCCCTTTTTGCCCTCATCGGTTTCAAGTCCTCCCTGGCCGTCGCCGCCCTCTTTCTCCCCTCTCATCCCCTCCTGCTCTCCTCCAGTTCTCTCGCACTCTGCCTCCGCCTCCTTGCCTCTACCGTTTCTTTTTCCCTGCAGGCGAGGAGGGCGACGAGAAGAAAGAGGAGGGGGCGGTGGCTCCCCCATAACTGGTTGTTGCGCTCCTCACCTCCCTCCTCACCCTCCACCTCCCCCCCTCAATTCCTTCTCCTCCCCCTCCCCCCACCTCCCCCTCCACCTCCTCCTTCCTCCCCCCTCCCCCTCCCCCCCCCACCCCCCTTCCCTCCCCCCCCCCCCTCCCCCTCCCCCACCTCTCCCCCCAATCCCTGCTCCTTTCAAAAATAACTCCGCCCCCTGTCGCGCCCCAAGACGCGTCGGCAGGGCGGGCCGGGTGGTTGTCCTGAGACCTTTGTTCACCAAGTATGAATTTCAAGGTCGAAATCTCGAAGGGTGGAGGGCGGGCCGTGTTCACACAGAGTTACACCTTAGGCGATGCTCAAGAAAACTTAAGTTTTCGGCCAGATTCTCGATTATTCTTAACGTTTCAATGTAAATCCTATGATTTTGATAGAATTGTTGGGTTTTTATTCAAATTCTGAGACTATGAATTTCTCAACCCATGATTTCTTAAGCATTTCGCAGGGTGTATGCCTCAGCGCCGCGCACATTCGTCTAACCAATCTGCAACAGCTTCAGCGGTGGAGGCAGGCCCTTCTCAAAGTGCGGCTGCCGCTTCAGCGCCGCTCACATTCGTCCTAGACGTTCGCAGCAGTTTCAACAGTGAAGGGCGGAGTGTTTTCAAAACGGAGCTCGGGCCTTATCGCAGCGCACATACTTTTTCAAAGTTTGCAACAGCTTCAATCATGGAGGGTGGGTCCCTTTCAACATGTAATTGTCGCTGTAGTTCCGCGCGCACTCGTTTGAACAGTTTGTAATCGTTGCCAGGATTCGTAGGGTTGAAGTCCCAATAATAATATTATGGTGTGGTATCGGAATGTCAGGACGCAACAGTCATGATGGTTCGCGGTGCTGATTTCCTAGGTGTGGTGTCTGGCACGGTTTCGGGTTGTCAGGACGCAGCAGTCACGTTGATTCGCGGCGCTGAAGTCCAAGAAATTGTGTGTCAGCATGGTGGGGGATTGTCATGCGGTTGTCTTACCTATATGACCACCCTGCGGGTGATAAGGAGGTTGTGGGGGTGGGTGGGAGGGGGGTGGCTCATGACGACAACTGTGGTGAATGTGGTGCTGATGGCCGATGATGGTGTGGATCTCACAATCGGTCTCACAACCGATCTCACTATCGATCCCACTATCGATCTCACATTCGATCTCACAATCGATCTCACGTTTGGTGCCACTATCAATTTCATGATCGATCTCATGATCGATCCCACGATCGATCCAACATTCGGTCTCACATTCGGTCTCACTATCGATCCCACTTTCGGTGTCATTATCAATTTCACGATCGATCTCACTATCGATCTATCTCTCGATCTCACGACAGGACAACGGCGGGCGACCGACGGGACAATGCGGGCTTCCGGTTGACACGCGCCGGCGGGGGAAACATTTATGCTGTCGAACCACTAGCGACAGACAGGACAACGGCGGGCAACCGACGGGACAATGCGGGCCACCGCTTGACACGCGCCGGCCGGGGAAACATTTATGTTGGCGAACCACTAGCGACAGACAGGACAACGGCGGGCAACCGACGGGACAATGCGGGCCACCGCTTGACACGCGCCGGCGGGGGAAACATTTATGTTGGCGAACCACTAGCGACAGACAAGACAACGGCGGGCAACCGACGGGACAATGCGGGCCACCGCTGGACACGCGACGGCGGGGGAAACCTTTATGTTGGCGAACCACTAGCGACAGCAGAATGTATTCCTCTCGCCTGCAGTTTCGCTTCGACCGCACGCACGACACGAAACCGAAACCGATTTCCCGGTGGGGTCTCTCCCTTCCACTTCGATCTCACCCCCCAACCTCCGATAATGGAGCACTTCCAGGAATGAGCACAATATGTGGCACGGGCTTGTGAAGAGGGAATCTGGAAGGACGGTTGATCGCAACATCGTCCATGCGCCTTGGATTTACATGGGTCCTCCTCCTCACCCGCCTCCTGCCCCATCCCTCTTCCTGACGAGTCATTCTTCCCT